ACGGCAGAAGAAATAATGGTTCTTCTTGATTTCACATTAAGACAGCAGAATGTTGCTTTGAAAACGTCGTAGTAGAAGCCGAGGATGTTTCCCTCTTTGCCTTCCAGGAAGCAGTGACTGCTCAGTCTGGTCCACACTGCGCTAATTTGGTTACCGGGTTATCTTAAGTCTGTAACTGATGTAGTTTCGACTATTATCGAGATATAACTGTTATAATGCTGAGATATTTGTAAAACTCTGGACCCCAGGTTCCTACGGAGGGAAACGAACGCGCTATTGTCCTTTCCGGGGAGTAACACTTTCACCACCACACCATGCGGGTCCTTCGTTTCGCCTGTCTCTCAGCTAGAAGGACTCAGAAGGACCCGCATGGTGTGCCGGTGAACGCGTTACACCCCGAAAGGACAATAGCGCGTTCTTTCCCCGCCGGAGTTTTGCAAATATCTCAGCATTATAGCAGTTATATTTCGCAAAATACCCTGCCGTTAAAAAGAACGGGCGGTAAATAAAAAGGTTAAGATCATCGAGATGTTATTCTTAATTTCTGCTGTTTCAACAATGTATTCTGCTCCTTCATTCTTAAGATCATCTTTTATTGGACTCTATGAAAAGTTTTGCAAGTTTGTGCATAAGCTGGTAATTGTCTAGCCTTGTTCGGTTCCATAGGAAGACAGCGACTCGAGGGTTAATGGAGACAACTGTTCTTTATATGTTTCGAACACTTGGCCCCTTTAGCACTAGCTTGAAGATGTTAAATGAGTCAGTGGTATTCTTCATCGATGTTGTCGAAAACGCCAGCTTCCCAAAATTCTAATTTTCAGTGGTTTTGGTTTTTGGCACGCGAATTTTGCGTTTTTCCCTCCCATTTGCATGAAGAAAAGAATCGAGTGCGAGTGAGGCCACAGTTCGATCCCATGTAAAATTTGGGAACGGCAGCGACTTTGGCAAGGCAAAGAATTGATTTTGCCCCAATTTGCAAGAGAGGCGCGGGTATTGGTCCACAGCTCTTCAACGGAGAATTCAGGTGCAAGTGAACGTGGATTATAGGTACAGGTCGTCACACTGGTCAATACAGATTTAGGCAGTACAGAACAACCATAGAACGAAATTTTGACACTCTCTCCGTATTCGTCCTACTCAACTTTATCGGGAACCCTTTCAAGCCAGAGGAATGACGGATTAGTATTTTTCTATTTTTCACTACTGCTACCTATTGGTGGTTCGCCAAGCTATCAGGGTGGTGGGTTGATATACTCACGGGTCCATTTCCATTCTATCCCAGAGTAGATGTGAAGACTTTTCCAATATAACGGTGACGGTTCCCACACATCTCTGATGCACTTCTTGGCCATCTGATGTCAGGCTTTTGGCCAAATTGACTTCTCTAATACATTCTGCATATAAGCGGATATGCCCATTCCTGTATTCGTGAACGTATCTGCGTAAATACAGGAGGTCTGTGTCGAATCAAAGTTCCAGAAAGAGGGAGTCCACCATGTAGGGCACCTGCAGCTAAGAGAAGCGCATACTTTTATTTCACGCTTTTTCCTTATCCGCCACCTGTGAACGCTCTACGGAGCCTCATGGGTAACTGGCCAAGGATCATCTCGGCTGTTGTAGAACGGTTATCTAATTGAGAAGTCTGTACACGCCACGATAGTTAGAACCAGATAATCCTCACAAACCTGACTCGCCTCAACGATAACCGTTCTACAACAGCCGTTAGCTTCTTGTTACCACGAGCTATCAAGCACACGTCAGAGCGTCTTCGAAGAAAAGTGTGACGCTACTCAGGCTGCTCGAGATCAACCTCAGCATACGAAGAGGAAAAAGGAAATTTTTTGGCACCTATTCGATTTGTCCGACAATCAGTGGATAGGGGAGGTGACACGTAAAGTTTATAAAGCGCTGTATTAAGTTTATAAAGGCAAATATTACATGATAAAAGGATAAGAAATAAAGCTCTCAGCGGTGATCAATCCCTGAGGGATGCACCACGCATGCGACTTTATTAAGCATTGTTTGGAGATGACTGAATGCATATCTGGCCTTTACAATGACTCGCGGTGGCCTAGAGATATGTCGAGCCAGTGCTGTTATCCTCCCAGACAAGTCTGGTACCAATTTGCCGACCCCGGAGGGATGGAAGGCTTGGAAGGTTTAGTGGGCCATAGGCGCGGAGATCGATTCCACCAGCGCAATTACTGCAGCAATAATTTAAAAAAGAACTCCACGTTTTGCCGACAACCTAATGAAAACAAATTGATAACTCATATGGTGCTGAACGCCAACTGTTAACAAGTAAAGTAGAAAAATGGAGGCTCGCATCGCGTAGTAGTTAGCCATGCGGTGAGTACAACCATGGTCCTTGTTTCGTCCTAGCCTCAATCGAACCAAACCCTTATACCGCATGGATCGGTAATTTGCTACTACGTTAATGCTAGAAAGACCCTCACCGATTAACAATATGTGACGATTATGTGTAAAGAGCACCTCGAAAAGCTTTAGCAGAGCCATCTCAGGGTTTCAGATAAAGCCGTATTCAACCAGCATTCCACGAAATCCACTAGAAGACGAAATCCTAGGTTGCAGCTGAATACACACTCAAATTTTAGCACTTTTGTGAATAATGAACGCAACACAGCGAACTGAATGGAAGAAGTACTGGGATCCGCAAAACACGAGGGACAGACCATATAAAGCCACTGTTGCCTACCCTGTAGAGAATAACCTCCATTTTAACATTGATCTCATATAAAAGATAGAAAAGGGTAAAACTCTCGGCGTTGATCAATCCCTGAGTGATGAGCCATATATTCGACTTCATTAAGCATCGTTTGGAGGTGACTTAATGCATATCTGGCCTTTACAATGACTCGCGGTAGCCTACCGATGTATCGAGCCAGTGCTGCTACCTCCAGACCAGTCTGGTACCAAATTGCCGATCCCGGAAGAATGGGAAGGCTCGATGAGCCATGAGCGCTGGGATTGATTCCACGTGTGCGTTGCAGGGCTCTCCCGACCACTTCGCCACACACGCCCTTCTACATGATAACCGGGCACAAATCATATTCAGTTAGGTTTAGATGTATATATAAAAACAACTAAATAAAAATTGCTCTATTGATAAGTGTTTTTGAAGACGCCGTGTGCGCAAGTCCGAGACCACAGTTAAATGTTGAGAATAGACGTGGGAATCAATACAGTAAACTGAATATAATCCATAGGTGACAACAGCCATCCATCGAATCTCCACAAACATTCAATTCCTTCTTTTCTACTATAGGTACAGCGATGGCCTCGCCACATCTGGCGACTACAGCTTCTAGCCGAGGAATCGGCCCTTTTGGTACGCAGCGTTTCCATGCAAGAAATTCCTCGACTTGTGCGGATCTAATTTTATTTTGGAGTTCCGGAGCTTCGCGTGAGTTACTGAAGCCTGTGATGGTTATCAATTTTACTTCTTGAGGGAATTGCTGTCTTATCGCATGTCGACCATCCCATGTTTCAAAACGGAAAGTCCGCCGGGTCGGTGTCCGTGACTGCATGACATCTACTCTGGACATGCTTCTTGGTGAAAACCAGTCCTTCCTTTTTGTTCTCATATTTTTAAGTACTCAACATTTCCCTCTTCGTGATGTTGCATTAACTCTAATCCTCGTCATTTTTCGAGGTCTCGAGGTTGTCCAATCTCACATTTTCTCGAGGAGATTCATTGCATTCGGCGAAGAAAACACTGATTAAGGAATAGTAGATTCTTAGCTTCTTTGGCTTTCATTCTTCTGCATACTCATTACTGTAGTTTATAACGTTGGCTTATGTCTGAAGTAAATTTGAGAACAGTGGAAGAGTGAGAAAGAGACGAGATGACCATGAGAACTGCAGTCGTTCGCGACGGCGTTCGTCGACGATCAGAACCAACTCTACAAAACTTTTTATTAATGAAAAGTCTACGAAAAAATAGGATCTTACACTAACCACTGTTTATTAGTGAATAAGAAATTTTTTTTAACCACCGACTTAAATAAAGGTTTATCCTGATTCCCTAACGCATCAATCTGAGATCAAACTCTCATGTTGGCTTCCAACTCTAAACTAACATGCTCCAGACCATATTCAACTTTATTGATTATTGTTTTGTTTATTGATTTACTTTATTCAACACGTCAACTGGAATCAATCGATTTTTAGGCACAAAAGTTGTATTTTACCACGATAAAATTCCGATTTTCTGTTCCTCAAAACATTCTTCTTCGACTTTTTCTTCGTTGACGCTCACATTTTGAGCACGAACGTTAGCGCGGAAAATTTCGGAAATTTGGATGAAGGTTTTGATTTTTGAGAATTTTAACCTTAGATAACTTTAGAAATAAAAAGAATATGCTGTAAAAATTCTATAGGCGTAAATACGATAAGAAAATCTCTTGTGTAAAGGTGTAAAGCTATCAATTCGGCTGATACTCGACGACATCGCGCCTTTGCCTGCTGTAGAAAAACCAGCTTCTACGCAAATGTGCTAACTACAAGAGCTAATTCGCTAGCGCTTCTAATGCCATCGGTCCCGTTCGAGATTGACGTTCGACGGAGAGTCGACCTGTTCCAATTTAGGGCAATTATGAGTGAATTGCTGTGTTCGCGTCTCTCCGTCTCACATCTCTGCAAAAAAACCTGCCGTCGAAGAGGCTTTCCGGACACGGGCCACTTCATCGCTGGCCAATCAGCGCGGCAATTTCACACACCGTCGCCCTCGCCGTCACAGCCCGTGTTCCCTCATTCTCATAAGCTATAAGCAGACGGACCACCGTTGCCACGAACTTCCTCCACGTTCTTCTGCTTCACTTTCCATTCATTTTAGCATTTCGTGCACTCATTGTTCATTTTCAGCCCGTCCAAGAATGACTAAACGGCTGATCTTCGTCGTATTCTTATTATGGGTATGCTCTTTCCGTTTCTCACCCATTAACTTTTAAGAAGATATAATGCAGTGTTCACACTGCTATATGACGCATCTCGTATGGCATACTATTCCCTCTGTAAGTACCGTATCACCCAAATCATTCGAACAGGTGAAAAACTGCCGAAAAGTGTCTTGTTCTTGCAGTTCGGGTCACTTAGTGATCATCCAGCTTCCTTTTTAGTTCCTGCAGATCATCTACTGTGATTTTCCATCATGCCTCACAACGACTCCCTCTGATAAAATATCACTCAACTCCGATTGCAAAGTGGATATGAGTATCGAGGTATGTGAAAGACCTTGCCTCATATTAGATCCATTTATGATTGACATTCTTAGAACAGATGATTTCTGGGAATGTCTTCGAACGAAGTTCATGTAATTGGTCTGTTAGACACTATTATCCTATGTATTCTTAAAAACAGGCTGTTGATAATTTCTTTTTTAATGCTTTTGGCATAGTAGGTTGTTGCTAACTGGGCATCTAACGGCTCATCGCCTAAGCTTCATCACTCATCGCACCCACGACTACCCCAAACTGGCACTTCCGTGCTAAATACCACATCAACCGTGGCCCTTGATATGCCTTTCTTTCAGCCAGTTTTTACTTACTCTATCCGTGCCATCAGCAATCACCCGTCAACGGAAAAGATCCAGGGAGCACAGTTCGGCACTGAACACGGTTAAGGAGATGATGAAATCTCACTGATCTCAATGAGAGGGAAGCAAAACAAAGGCGTCGGGCGCTGTAGTGGGTAGCACGTGAGCCCTCGAACTGGGTAATCGCAGGTTTGCAGCCCTACTGAGGTTCCGAGTTTTGCTCTTATCTCAACATCCTTATGGTTATATTACACTTCAGAGAACGCTGCCACTGAGTGTGGGCTGATAACTTGCCTTTTATATCAAATGCTGTGTACTATTAATAGTTTTTCATTCGAGGACGGAGAATTTCCTTTTGATAAAGTTTTTCTTTTATTTCCCACCCCTTTCCTATGTTTTTTTCCAGGTTGAAATTTTCCGTCTTGACTACTTTAGTGAGCGTTTATATGTTCCTACTACCTGAATTAGTGCGCTTCAATCGCATGATTTGGCTTCTCCCTTTTTCTCTTAGTCATGTTCTCTTCACAATTTGCTTCTCCGGGTTTTCACTCGTGGTGTATTTATTACCGCAGTCCTTTTGCTTCCTAAGTTCTATGACCATCTTCTTTTCCAATATCAGCTAAGTGAATTCAAGAATTTAGTTATTAGCACCCATTTTCCATGGAAGGAAGTTTAATTACTTTTCAGTCTATGTAAGGCTCAGTGAATAGATTTTAACTGTTATCGGATGGATGATACGATGGAAACGCTTTGAAGCCTTTCATTCTTCCAAGCGCTTTGGAATTTAGGGATCGCAATGGTAGAGAACTTTAGGAAATGAAAGACTTTCTCTCGTCCTAGTAAAAACTGAAGTTGATACCCCTCTTAAGAGCTATTATCGAGATTTCACTGCGGAGCCGACAGATCAATCTGCAGGACTACTCACTGTGTTCCAAGGAGCTTGCGTTAGCGTTCCTGAGGTTAACTTGCTGTTATGGTTTTTTGCTGTTATCCTCCACTTGTGTTTCACCTGGTGGCATTTTTTCCCTAATGACCATGTCGTTTGTAAGTCTTCAAACTAAGAGGAATCATTTCCTATCAAAAGTGCTTTTCCACCAAAGCTGAATTTGGGATGAATTTCTATTAAGAAAAAAAGCATTAGAATTCATCAGACAGGGCGTGCTCTGTTTGAAATCTTGGTTTTTCTCCCATGTCCGGCTTTTTCGTAGGCCAGTTGGCTTGTCACATATTATTTTTCCCACCATTCAATGACATAGGTTTGTTTCGTCGCATTACAGAGCACATATTGCCTTATTATATATTCGCCTTTTCTTATCTACGAAGCTTATCTTCACAAACAGGCAGTCTAAAAATTGGAATACGGAGTGATTATGAACGGGAATGCCTAAGCGAGACTGGTTAACGGGTAGATAATTGCTAAAAGGAAACAGCGCAGGTTGTCCCTCGCTCGCTAGGGGTTGGCAAATTCCGAGTGATCAGTAATCAGTTACATGAATGGTAATGTTGCTCACTTCTTACTGGAAGGCTTCATAGCAATGCCTGTCCGTTCTCTGTTGAAAACAAGGAATGAGTGGCATTCTGAGATTGAGCTTCCAAACGAAACCCTTTGAATATTATGCCTCACTGACACATCTGATTTCAAGTGGTGAGCTCAGATCACACTAGCCAAGATATTAACATCTCACGTGTTACTTGATGCCATAGAGGTGCCCTACAATTGAGACGTTGTCGTTGGTTCGATCTCAGTCCTCGGGCTCACCATGGCCTTCATACATGTGAGGTGAGCAAATTGATGCGAGAGTTCTTTGGAAAGATGGTAAAACTGACTTGATACATCGGTAGGCCACCGTCCGTCCTTGTATGGACCACGTACGCATCCAATTACGTCTAAGGATAGTTGATAAATTTGAATTCATGATGTATCTCAGAGGGATTGATCAACTCCGTGCGCTCCATCCATTATCCCTTTCGATATACCAGTGATAGGCAAATGAACTGGTTTTTAGTCATTTAATTTGTTTCATCATTTCATTTTTTCATTCATCTTAAGTCACTTAACTGTGATAAAGCTTCAGGTTTTGAATCAGTGCTCTGGACCAGTTCGATTGTACGCGTTTTTTGAACCTATGGAAAGCGAATTGCAGTCAATGTTCTTCAAAGTGAAGCACGGCAGTACGGCAAGCATTATACTTTCTCGTGCAATACGAAAATGGGCCAGTAGCGGACTTCTGAACCAAGCTGCCGTGACCATTTACGCATGGACCAACTTAAAAGATCCCAGTCTGGAGGAGCTCTGGAAGAGGGTCCTCAACGGAACGACGTCATGTGCATAATGTTAACAGAATATGTATTCTTGTCCATGGTATGTATAAAAATGAATAGCTTTTACGCTAATTTATAGACCAGTTAGGAAGAAGTGAGATTTGTGAAGAATCTTCATACCAGTTACCATTCGAGATACAATAATCTAAACTGTAAAATTCATTCACTTGTATCTCCCCATGCAACCTCATAGCAAGGCCTCAGCTCGCTTCCGTCACGTGTCAGAGCTGACCAGACTGCTTTTCTCTGTGGCACATAAAGCCTTGCCTCAGTGTTGATTTTTGTGAAACGACCTATGTGCAGATCTATTCAGCTACACATTGTCGATCCATATAAGTAATGCCGTGTCATGACAACAGCCAAAAAGTAATTTCTTGAATAACATGTTGGCAAAGGCAGCAAAAACATATGAAGTAATTTGGACATTAGCGCTTCTTGCTGAACAGAAAACGACGTGTGGATGGCGATTTGCCCATTCATATCCCTCGATCTATGAATGTAACGTCTGCTGCTATTAAATAGTGTACTCGAACTTTTGTTAGAATTTGGAAGAAGAGCTAATGCTACCCAAAAACCTCTTTGATAACTAGCTTAAGAGAGTAGTGTGCATGTTTGCGTTTCCAAGTATTGTACTGGAAAAAGTATCCCATTAGTTAAGTGAGCATGATGTTTTTGGAAGTCGAAATGACAAGTGAGTAGACGGCTTCATATTTCCACCCTTTCGATAGTTTCATTTCCATATGAAACTGAGTGGGAGCGAATATTGCGTAGTGGTGAGAGTCTGCAACACATAGGTGGATGGATCGATCCTGCAAACTTGGCTCACTAAGCCATCCAACCCTCCCAGGTCGGTAAAACCTCCGGACCCGCTATTTTTTCACCCGTTTATGGAACGTGAATCTGTGTGAGTACACGATGAATTTTAAGAGGTCTAAATTCGTAAAATTTCTGGTGCGGTCTTATTTGCGCAATGAACCCCGGGTTCTGCGTCACTACTGCATCATTCTTGTATCGGGCACCGGTGCTGATATTGTGGTACGGCGGAGAAAAGTTCTTGTGACAAGCCAGGACGCTTTTCAGGTTTTTATATGATGAGTCGAATTCAGAAATCTTATTCAATGAAGTGGAAAAATGTCTATAATTGGTACCGACAACGTTTTTACATAGATGGATTTATGAAACATTGGAGCCTTGGAACCTGATCCAGATCGAACCACGACTTCCTTTTCTGGGATCTCGCTCGTTACACACTGCATCACGGAGGCCCTTGCTCTGCCTTTCTCTCAATTTTCTATCTACCAGTGCCGTCGGCAAAAAACCATGGTCCGTGGTCCAACTTTGGCGAATATCTCAGCATTATTTTGGTTGATTTCGGATAGTACCCTTCCGTGAAAATTGTTGCAGGTAGCAAATAAAAAGTAAACATTATAAGTAAGGTGCATCGAGTTTAGTATACTCAGTTTCTGACATAGAAATATAACTATAATTATAAATGATGTCGACTCTCTTCTGACTCAAATGGGTTTAAGGAAATAATACATTAGCTTGAGTCAGCAACAGACTATTCACTGCTGAAAGCCATATGCTAGACAGCCAGAGCAGAAATCCCAGTGTAGCAAAAATAAAAGTTGAGGTTTGTAGAGGTGAATCGATGTGGTCGAATGGAAGTGCACTATCACATTCGTCGACCATTTACGAGTTTACTGACGCGAAATGAGCTGCTCGAAGAGAAATGGAAACCAAATTGTTAAGGAAACCGAAAGGATAAGGTGGTTAACAACCAGGTGAGATGCTAATAATACGAGAAACATCTATGGACACTATGAAAGCGCAGTTTTGATTGCAATTTTATGCGAACACTTTTGCGAAAGATGGTTTCCACAGAGAAGAATTCGATAATGTACAGAGATTGATAGGGAGTGGTCCTGCATTTCTCTATCGTCTTTGAATTTCAGCCTTAATTTGGAATCCATTAGCGTTGAACTTGGGCACGAGTACATTATGGATATGGTTCAGTCGAAGAACTCATTAGTTTCGAGATATGCAATTGTTCAGACTTGAGAAGGTGCTTTCAACCAATTCGCGGATTCGCGTCTAGTACTAGTTGCAGTAAAGGAACTGAGTTCCCCGAACTGAACAGTTTCTCGTCTAGTCGCTTTTCTGCAAGAATCGTACATAGTTGACCTTGATTGTGAACATTACTGCATGTCATCATTATTCCTCCATTCTCCAACATTTACGATCTCTTTAGCACCAGTGCTAGTGAGCTCTATAAATCCACGCCATTGTTTCTAAGATGTTTTTTTTATTTTTCATTTTAATTTATTTAACTTAATCAGTACCCGTTATTTTATTTGATATTTATTTATTATTTGATCCGTCTCACGTCTACTGTGCGGATCCTAGCAGTTCTCACATTTGATTCGTTTTCTCGCATCCACTGTCAACGAAGATCTTCCAACTTTTACGTGTGGCTTCGGTTGTTGCTTGAGGATTTCCATTTCATCTTGAATGTCGTAAGATGCTGGTCGAGCAGTTTTCCTTCGAGTCCTGAGATAGCCGAGATGAAACGTTCCCAATTGGATTGCAGAGAGTGATTTCTTTCCAGACAAGTTCGGTAGCAATTTCCCGACCACGGAGGAATGAGAGGCTTCTTTGGCCGGGAGGGAGCGGAGTCGAACTAGCACCATGCTCGTGATGACGGACATCACTACTAAGGATACTTAGTGACGAAAACGTCACTAACATGTTAATGATAGAGAATCACTTTCATCCTTCAGTGCTACTGGCCGAATCGGAACGGCTCTTCACTATTAATATACTGATAACGACGCTACTAACTAGATGATGAAGAACAGAAAAGTCACTTTCTTGCACCTAGTTGTGCACTTGCAATTTTCTTGTCGTTTAGAAAACCTTTGATGCGAAAAATGCGAATTTAGCTGCGAAATACGCAGCTATCGAAAGGACGGCTTGATATTTTTTCTACGTAGATGGACGAAACTGAGAAAGTGCCCTCAAAAAACTACACCCTTAGTTCAGAAGGATCAAAGAAGGGTCATGTCGACTAATGCCAGAATATGACCGAGTGCACTGCGGTGTATGCGCTCATATAAGTTCACTACGTAGTGACACCCCTTCGCTGACGCAGGATGACGAAAGGCTGAGATCAGTGTAGACGTAATTCGATTGAATAGAGAGCGGATAGCACAGTGATAGTGATGTCCGTCATTACAAGAATGGTGCTAGTTCAATTCCGCTCCGGGCCAATCAAGCCTTTGATCCCTCCGGGATCGGGAAATTGGTACCAGGCATATCTGGAAAAAAATCACTCTTTGCAATCCAGTTGGAAATGCTCTACCTCCACTATCTCAGGACTCCAGAAAAAACTGCTCGACCAGTATTCTACGACATTCAAGATGAAATGAATGATTGTCGAAATCCTAGACTTTCACGAAGTACGCGTCGATCAATTCGTGTCGACAAAATGTCGCCCTCGGTACAACACAGGATCCCAACTCCCATTCTCGCACTATTCTTACTGATACTCTAAATGTCGTGCTCAAAATAATCCCCCCTCCGCCCCGCAATCTACAACTTACAGTTGGCACTTTTCAATTCAAAATTTACAACCGTCACAACCAGAAACTTTCACAGTGTGCACTTTCTACCCACTATCTACTATCATTACTAAGTGCAATCTGTACAGCGGCACCATTAAAACAGTGTAAGGAAATATTTCGAAGTAGATATGGAATCGTGTTATTTTCCTACTGCGCTACAGCAACCAACACTGTTTCCAATCCTTCGACACTATATCGATGATCTCTTCGCGACCATAGCTTCCTGTTTCTGTAGGGCTTCCACTAATTTGATGCAAACTAAAGCAGAGTACGCTTGTATCTTGAAGTCGTTCATCCCATTCCTCGGCACAGTTTGACTACAGATCACAGACGCATGCAGCACGCATTGTCTCTCTGTGAGCACGTGGAAGAACACATGAATCATGGATGCTTCTGTCTTCCTATTTGAGTATCACTGCAAGGCTCCCATGGCTTCCATTCTCTTGAGCTGGCACTTTTCCTTACTGAATATTGCTACACGATTCAAAAGACCGACTTTCTATGAACCTCGGCATAAATAGTTGATGTCCTTGTTTATATGATCTTATAAAGTGGTGTCGTTGAGCAGATGCGAGGTTGGTATAAGTTTTCGTTGTCGTTGCCGTTGTTGTTGGTGTTGTTGGTTGATAGCCGACGTCTCGGCGATTTCGCCTTCCTCGGAGTCGTGCTGTGACGAGTGAGCTCCCTCCCACTCATGTAAATAAATTTTTGCTAGATTACCTACATGGGAAGTACTTTTCCCTTCCTCCTGCATGAGCCTACCAAATCTGTCTTCCTCTGGAGCAATATCTCAAGCAACGAAGAAACGATTGTATTCCAATTATTACTAAATATGTGCGTACCTTAATCCAATAATCAGTCCGGCAATATCGATTTCTAGTGAGATGTTTTGCAGTACTCATCATTAATCTGCATGTGTAACCTGGTCCAGTGTACAAATTGATCAACGTAATTCCATGATTTTACCTCTTATGTGGAAGAAGCTAGTGTTAGACGTTAAATCACACGGGGTATTTATTGTTCCTGCCGAGTCAGTTTGTAGGCCCACTTCAAATTTATGTTGAAAAGTTGAACGAGCGCTCGAGTGGTCTGGTAAAACTCCTCTCGTTCATCACAGGTTGCACTGTTCGCCGAATTTTGGAGAGCGAATAGCCTTTTTAATCTGTGTCTTGATGTGGCACTGGATCGAATAGGATCTCCTCCTTGATTTGGACTGCTACTCTGACGGTTTCTATAACGTGTCAATCTGACTATTATTGTCTGAAAGTAGAAACCAATGAATGGTTTCATACCTTCTACAACTGTTCGTTGCTAGAATTGGTTCTTCTGCTCGTTGAATCTAATAGTCTTCATTACAATTAATAGATAACACAGATAATTCATACAAA